TTTGACAATATAAGAGTTTAAAGAATTGAAAGTAAAGATTTGGAAACTACAACTAAGTTTTATAAAGGGTTTAACATGTAAAAGTGTTTGATAATCATTTGCAAGTAGTTTTGTTGACAAGACAGTTTAAAGTATAGAAAATCCATTTGTGTGCTAGTTATTAATCACATGTGATTGATATAATAACTAGTATGATTCAAATTTTATTCCCCCCCCCCCATAAAAGCATTTAATAACATTTAAAAGGTTAATTTAGGGGTATGAACTCACCTGTAGTGAGTGGATTGTACAGAAGTGTTGGACAAGGTGCTACGTGTCAAGTGAAGACTTGAACACACATAATGATCCAATTTAGCATATAAAGACATATATATATATATATATATATATATATATATATATATATATATATATATATATATATATATATATATATATAGCAGTGTTGTAAAAATCGGTCTAGGCGGCCGATTAATCGGGGATTAATCGCTATGCTGTCTACAACCGAATAGGATTAAGGCTAATCGGTCGGCTTAACCGGTTTTGGTCAAAGGGGGTCAAATTCGGAGCTAGACGGTTCTAATCGGTCCTAGGCGGTCCTAATCGGTCCTAGGCGGCCTAATCGGCCAAAATTTCAAAATTTCAAAATTTTAAATATTAAACCAAAATTTTCAAAATTTCAAAAGTTCATAGTATTTCAATGTTCAACTAATATATAAAAATTTTTAAAAAATTAAAATTTAAAGTTTTTCTCCAAAATTTTCAAAATTTCTATATTTTCAAATATACAAATACCCAAATTTATTTTTCTTAAGATACATTAAAATTTGAATAACTTTTCTTATTAATTGGATGATAAATTGTTGTGCTTGTTAAACTTATTATTAAACTTTTATGCTTATTTATTTATATTCTTACGATTAAAGTTAGATTTATAAATTTTTGAATAATTTTCTTAATAATTAATGGTCCCCGATTAATCCTTCGATTAATCCCCGCCTAGCCGATTAATCCCTAGACCCCAGTCCACCGACTAGCTAACGTCTAACGTTTTCTGCAACCTTGCTAATTAGTGATTAACACACCAATTAAGCAAGTATAAACACCCTAAAACATGGAAAACACTATGGTCTAATTGTTAGAAGGCTATTGGGTTGCATCAAAGGAGTGTAAGGCATTGCATTTGAGTTTACGGCCCAAGGACCACTCCTTAAGGAGTTTACGGCCTAAGGTTTACAACCCTAATGGGTTTACGGCCGTAAACCCATGGCAAATTCCACAAAGTCGAAGTTTTAGGTCCTTAGTTCAATGGTGGTTGGTTCTAGTTTAAGTTATAATCATTAGGAAGGAAAATAGGGCATCATTGCACACTTATAGGGAGTTTACGGCCTTGGGAGATCCTTGGCCGTAAACTCTCTTCCAACCAAGAATTCTTGATGTTTCTAAGGTCTAAACAAGTTCATTCTAGTATATAATAAGCTAGTAAAAGTGTACTTACAATATAGAAGCTCGTTTGGGTGTTTAAGGTCCAAGAACACTAGTGTGTGTTCTTGTTGTTTTGAAGAACACTTGAAGATCTAAGTAAAATCGAAGAATTTGTGGATGAAATGATGTATAACAACTAGAGGAAAGGTTATCACAACAAATCAAGTGAAGAAAAACTTACATTTTGGAAGATTGGAAGAAGAGTGTGATGATACTTGAGAGAGAAGTTAGAAGTTCTTGAGTATGAAACTTGGAAAATGAAAGAATGAAGAGTAAACTCATGTCTTAAGCATGAGTTTGCGGCCATAAGGGAGTTTACAACCCAAAATCCAAAAGTTTGGCCGTGAACTCCTTATTAGGGTGTTAAATGTGTGATTTCTACTCCAAGACCCTAGAAAGTACTTCCTTTTATTTATTCGTTTGAAGAATTGTTAATAAAAACACTCAAACGGACTTTAAACCGGATAAAAATTAGCAGAAATGTATTTGACTTGTATTTGAAGTGCTTGACTGTAGGGTTTGTACGAATGAAAATTTCGGGTTGTCACATCATCCCCCTGTTAGAGGGAATTTCGTCCCGAAATTAGAGTTTATGCAAATAAAGTAGTTACAAATAACTAAGCGAAAAGATCAGGGTATTTCAATTTCATTTGATCCTCGCGCTCCCATGTGAATTTCGGTCCTCGCTTGGCGTTCCAGCGAACCTTCACTATCGGGATGCAGCTTTCCTTCGTTAGCTTGACCTCACGGTCCATGATCTCTATAGGTTCTCCCACGAAGTTGAGGCTCTCGTTGATCTCGATCTCGTCAAGTGGGATTACAAGAGTCTCGTTGGACAGACACTTTTTCAAGTTTGAGATGTGGAATGTAGAATGTACGTTACTGATCTCGTGGGGTAGATTGAGTTTGTAAGCTACTTGTAACATCCGGATTCCCAGGTATATTATTTTATTCTTTTATTTTGGAGTTTGTGGAAGGACTTGGTGAGTTGGTGCTTAGACTCGCCGAGTAGGATCGTGGATTCTCATCCGGGTTCATGACTAGACTCGGCGATTCCACATTGCTTAATGAAACCATAATTTCCAGGGTTTGGGACCTATTTAAGGGCCCTTAGGGCCATCAGTTGCGGCTACCAAACCTATAGCGAAACCCTAAAAGAGCTAGAGCGATTGTGAGAGGAAAGGAGCCATTTCTTGATCTTTGTGGTTGATTCTTTCAAGAAGGAGGTGTTTCCAGCTTAGAGGAGACCAAGGAGGTGGTGCATCTGTGGATTTTGAGCTAAAGACTTCATCTTTGAGGTACTATATTGCCCCTTTATCTGTTTTGTTGGAGGAATCCATAGGCGTAGAGTTTTCATGTCCTTTAATGGAAGAAATTATGAGAATATGGCCCCTATTCGCTTTGAGACTTTGGATTTGGACCCATAGTGGTCTAAAGAGCTTATCTCAGCTTGCTTTATGTTGAGCTATAGAGGTGTTGAGCCTAGGATGTTATTTTTGGGGCTAAATCACCAAGTGAAACCTTCTAGACGTCCCATGAATGTCAAGATTCGAGCTTTACGTGTTTATCAGGCTTGGGAAGGTCAGATCTATGGATCAAAGGAACAGATCTGACCTCAAGAGGTCAATTGAGTTTGTGCATGGCATGAACTCGTCGAGTCCAAGGGCAGACTCAGCGAGTAGGGCTAGGGTTTCCCGTAAATCACTCAGTGAGTAGACTTGCCGAGTTTGGGAAATAACTCAGTGAGTCAGAGAGGGATTAAAGGACTAGGGTTCAAGGTGGAACTCATCGAGTTGATCTTGAGACTTGGTGAGTTGAGTCGGGGTGGCCCCGCGATTCATGCCAGGTGTGACTCGTCGAGCAAGGGTATGGACTCGACATGCCAAGCGAGACTAGAGAGTTAGTGGACACGTGTAGACTCGCCGAATCGCCGAAGTGCACTCGACGAGTCAGATCAAAGTTTGACTGTTGACTTTGTGGACTTTTAGGGATTGGTCAACAATGGGATCTTTGAGTCAAGAGAGGGGTAAAATGGTCTTTTACCCATCTGAGGATGCAAAGAGAGGGTTGGGTATAGTCTCGAGAGTTATATTTATGAGTGTATCTTATTTTATGTGATTAGGCAGAGGCTAGACTATACTGCTACCGAGTTAGGGATTTGCCGAGACATCTGAGGTGAGCCTTCTCACTATACTTTACCTTGAGTGGTAATTAGAGTTATGTGACAGAGTTATTGTATGCTACTTATGTGTTGTGTTGCACTGCATTATTTCTATGTGATTTATGCCATGTGTATATCAGAGTATATATCAGAGATAGAACCGGAAGGTTCACAAAGCTAGGGACCAGACGGTCCACAGAGTTAGGGCCCAAGGGCCCACAAATTTATAGCTTCGAGTGGCTAGTATGTGTTATTTATGGTATTTTGGGGGAACTCACTAAGCTTTATGCTTACAGTGTTATGTGTCTCAGGTACCAGTGATGATTGCGGGAAGGCGCCGACATGATTCGTACACACTCATGGGATTTTATGTATTTTGATCTTGGGAAATATTTTGTGAAACGAAGATATGATACAATGAGATTTTGTTAATAAATGTGTTTGGAAAATGTGTTTTAAAATGCGAAAAATTGTCTTAAATTTTACGGTGTTACACTACTAGGCCGATTCGGGTAAGAATTTCGAAAGGTCCTATGTATCTTAGATTTAGCATCCCACGCTTTCCGAAACATATCAAGCCCTTACAACATGAGACTTTCAAAAAAACGCGGTTTACCACCAAGAATTCTAAGGTTTTCCTTCGTTTGTCTGCGTAGCTTTTCTGTCGGTCTCTAGAGGCTTTCAATCGTACACGAATATGAATGATCTTCTCTGTCATTTTCTGAATGATTTCTAGACCTGTGAGAGTGCTGTCAGGAACTCATCCTTAAGCACTACTAGAAAAAACAGCCTTTTACGATGCTCATTGCGCGTCGTAAAGGGCTCAGACGACGCGCAAATGCGCGTCAAGGAAGGCCCTGCCATAAAGAGAGACGACGCGCTTTTGCGCGTCATCTATAGACGACGCGCATTTACGACGCTCATTTACGACGCGTAATTACGACGCACGTTTATGAAACGCAATGTGTATCAAGAAAGGCCCTGTCATAAAGAAAGACGACACGCATTTGCGTATCGTAACCTTACGACGCGCGTGTTAATGACACACAATGCGTATCAAGAAAGCCCCTGTCAAGAAAGGCCATGTCATAAATGAAGATGACACACATTTTTGCGTATCATAATTTTAAATGTTTAAAAAAAAATATTATTTATAGATTTACTAATTTTTAAATTAAATTTGTATTTAATGTCTCATAATAGAAAATAAAATATCATTTACAAAAAATACAATCCATTGCATAAAATTTAATGTCATACAAATAATCATATACAAAAAATACAATCCATTTTATAAAATACAATCCCTAACTATCTAACCTATTATTACATTGCTATTAAGGGACACCTTGTTTTAGATATCATGTAAAAAACAAATCCTCCATGTCAAAAAATTGGTTGTTGTCCATCGAGTGTAGATGACAAATAATGACTTGAACATTAGCTGAAACCAAAAAACTTTTATTAATCACACAATCAAAAAGCTGAAACCAAAAAGCTTTTAATTACACAAGAAACAACACATCATCATGAGAAACTACTAACCTGCCCTAAATGGAGGAAGTAGTTTTCTCCAGTGAACTTTGTTGGTGTGGACTGATAAAAGTTATAGCATGTCCTAGCAAGCTGCAAATAATACATATAAAAATTATTGGCAACTAAAAAAGCAACAAAAATAACAGACCTCTTCAGCCATATTCAGGAACTTTCATTGATGTCTCCCACATGTCTATGTTTTAATAACGCATTAGTTTGTTTTATATATACAGCTACAGTTGTAATTTTATCTAGAATTAAAATTACAAACTTACTTATAAGGCTTTACAGTTGCAGCTTTGTTTCCTTGTATCCACACTTTAAGTAAATAATCATAGAAACTGCACAAAGTTACATTATTACAAAACTTAATATACTGAAGATCATAACACCCTGATTTCATGAAGCAAATAAGTTATATAAAGATCATTAAGAATATTTGAGAATCATCTACAAGCAAACATAAGTAGACAAAATCTAGGTATTAATTAGATAAATATCTCGGTTAGTTAACCTAGATAATAATCACCCAAATAGAGCTCTGTCTCAGTTTACCTTAGTTTTAGCCATCATTTGTGGCTCAGCCTTCTCAACTTCAGTTGATGATATAAAGTTTTATTACCTCAATTGTATTCCCATCAATTCCTTCACTCGTTCCTTCAATCTCCCCACTATTTTATAAACGAGCTATTGTTTCCACCTGTGTGAGTTCCCATCAATATTGTTTCCACCTTCATAAAAGACTTACAAGATGATCTTAGAAAGGTTGAGAAGACTTACAAGATGAACTACAGGATTTGCATAAACACCTCCATGTGGATAGAAAGCAGCATATGGTGGCATCAAATGCTGATTTTGTGATTTTGCAAGTACAAAAAAGTCAACAGAAAACGCTCACTGAACTTCGTCTGCAATTACCAATGCACCCCTAGACAAGAAGAAGAAGCAGAAGAAGAAATGTTATATAATTCTTTTATCATTTATGTTTAATGAGTATAATAATAAGAGCAGAAAGTGAAAGATGGAAGAAAATGAGCTACTTACTTATTTTTTTAATTGTTATTTTGTCAAATCAAAGAATAATTTATAAACTAATATTTTTAAATGCTACTTACTTATTTTTTAAGAAATTTAATATTTTATATGGAATTTTTCTATCAGCTGTAGACTAGGAAATAACATACAAAACTGACACAGTGATATCAAATTTTGACCCGTGCTCATGAGTAGGAGGAGCTCTTGGAGCAGATTTCTCAGTCATTCCCACACTAATTTTGTAACCTCTCAATTCATAATCTGATCAAACATTAAAAAAAAATTTAGAAGGCTTCTTTATACCAATCTATATCCTATTCCTAATTGCTATTTATTATATATTATTTTGTTTTCACAAAATAGATGTCAAGTAAAATGGAGGTGAGGGATACCAGAAAGGTCAGCAGGCTTTGGGCGCTTTACTCGTGAATGGTTTTCGCACTGAATAGATTTCTTATAGCATCATCCTGCATCCAAATAAATGGAAAATCAAAAAAAACAAAACAAAAAAAAGATAAAAGAATAGAAGAAGAAAAAGAAGAAGAAACAAAGCCTAAGGGATGAGGTTAGGTAACACATGAGTTATGTATAAACACTGACCTGAGTATTAAAGAAGATGATTGCAAGGTCATTGTATTCATTTTCCTTGGTACAAAAAAACTGCGAATAAAAAGGGTAAACCCATCAGGGGAAATTAAAAGAAAGCCATTAGTTTTGCACTATTTTTATTCTGTTTATTGTGAGAAAAAAAAATTACAACATGAACACCTTGACAGTCTTTTTTGTGCTTAAACTCATAATACACTTCAACAACATAATTTTACAGATAATAAAATAAATTTGTACTAGTTTAAGTTTGTTTATTCTTATTGTGTATAAAAATAAAAAATGACCTTACATTTACATAATTCCCATACATCCTTGGTGGACGACGACATTCAATAGAAGCATCTGAAGGAAATGTGTCAAGTAATTAGCTTTTGCCCATACATCCCTGGTTTGCTACATGATATTTGTGAGCAAGGCATCCAAGACTAGGGTTTGCCGTGATCTGTGAATTCCATTTCAACTACTGTTGTCACCATGCTCATCTTCACTTCTTCAGAACATGTGAAAAAAAAAATGTCTCAATGATACTGAAGATATTGTAATAAAAGGCTTCGTATAAATTAATACCTGAAGATATTGATCGATGAAGGAAATGTGTCAAGTAATTAGCTTTTTCCATTTGGATGACATTTTGATCAGAGGAAGAAAGAGAATCCAAAAGCTTCTATGCATTAATGGCAGCTTGAGTGTCTTCACTGTTGGACATGGTGACCAAAAGTAGAATGCATCCCTGAATTTTTTATTTGACCCGTTATAAATTAAATAACAAATATAACCTGTGTCCATCTGCTGGTCAAATCTACTACATCTAAGAAAATGCAACAAGTGGGTCACTAATACACTAGTTAAGATATCTAAGTAGTATTGTAGTTTGGAAAGTAGTGGCACCATACTATTGAGTCTTGACACAATTCTTTAATAAATGCCAAACCAAATATGTACAAATATTCAACTATCGAGTTAATATATATGTAATGTTGCCTTCAAATGAATATGAAGAAAAGTGGGAAGTGGAAATCACAAACTTGGAGGCACAAAACCCTTTGGTATGAAAACCAGGAGAAAACTAGCTATAAACAAGGTCAGGTTCGAAAGGGCTTCTATTCTCAAAACCAACCATTCCCAGGTTGCATTTGTGAAAATGAAAGTACTTACATCTGTATCCACTAGCCTCATATAGTCCTTACAGAACCTGTCTTGCATCTTGAATGCTCGTGTAATTACACAAATGAGAAAAAACATACAGATTTGGAGACAAATCCAACATATCCAGGTCTGTAAAGTTTGCATTGAATAATGTTATCAATTATTCCTTCAGTGTCACCAATTTTGAAAGCTCCAGCTATAATAGCCACAACTCTGATGGTGGGCTGTTTGAGGGCAAGATTGGATGAAGCAGCAACACTGTTGTAAAATAAGGAACGAATGTCATGAAACAATTGTTTTGTTGTGAATTTTTGTATTTTTAATTGACATGATGTGGTGTTGATGTGTTGTAGTATGATTTAGTGGGTTTATGTTTATTGAAACAATTTTTATAAATATAGTAACCAAGTTTCTATTTTGTTCCAATTTTGAAACAGTAGGTGTAAATTACAAAAATGGTCCCTGGCTATAGGGAATTTTTGCAAAATTGGTCCTACTAAGTTTTTTTTTTTTTTTTTGTAGTTTTGGTCCTTATTTGAAGTGTAACATTTTGGTCCCTGTTCCAAGTACAATAAGTATATTATCCTTTTCAGAATTTTTTATAAATGTTTGTTGATGTCACTAACCAACAACCGAGTTCTTGAAAAAAATGTTTGTGGGGGAATACTCAATATCATTACTTCTTGTAACTTGAAAACTTTTAATAAATATAAAATTTGCAATTTTTAAGTCAAATTGATAGAAAGATTTAAGAATGATATAAAAGTAAAAACTTAAAAATTAAAACTGACCTTCAGTAGGACGCGAAATTAATAAATACATCTACAGTAGGATGTGCAGCTCAAGCAACTTCAACTCTGCAAAAGCATAGAACAATTTAATAGAGAAGCTGAGGGTTAGATGATTAGATCCTAACTTTTTACAAATTTACCCTCATCTATTATCTATTCCATTTCTCAAATACTTCAGTAACATCATTTTCCAGACACTACTTAATGGATAGTTGTTGTCTTGTTGATCATAAGAAATCAACTTGAGAGTTATCATTTGAATTTATGAAAACAAGTAAAGATAAAAAAGTCAATTCGTCAGAAGAAAGTAAACATGTTACCATTTGAATTTATTTAATTTTTTTTATCTTACCCTTGCTAGAATTCGTCCAACTGGAGTAGAGTCAATGAATACCATGGGGGCACGTGTAATTGAATCGGCAAATTTAGTAAAGAATGATTTGGAGGCATATTGTTCCTCTCTCAGATTCACCAACAAAACGTGAGTTTAAACTTCGTGTTGTGTAGTCACAACAATCAAATAATGATAAATTTAAAGCCTCACAGCCCCTGTATCTGCAATAATCAAAATCACAAATATTCATCAACCAAATATTCAATATGTGTTCTCACCTGAACAAATATTCATCAACCAATAAAGCCACAAAAACCTGTGTTGATACAATTCCCATATCAAAGTCTACAATGATTTATTTGTGACTAAACCCTTCCAGTCACTTACAAAGTACACAACATAAAGGGTTTCAACTATTAAGTGCTCAAAACAAAATCACGCATTTCATTCCATGCCAAATTATGTCAATCATCTAAATTATTGTAAAATACTAAAATATTGTAAAAGACTACAGATGAATCACCTTTTGAGATCTCAAAAGACCAAAACTTGTAGTAAGATGAAATTGAATACAGATCGAGCTCAGATTGGTACGTATCTCTTCAAAATCTGCTTCCCCGTCATGGCTAATCCCACCGCTATTCCACCAATAGCTCCGGCAACAGCCGCCGACCTAGGGCTGGCCGCCGTTTTGTAAAGCGCTCCAGTCGCTAATCCAGCCACCACGCTCCAGTCGCTATTCCAACCACCACGCATTTCATTCTAGTTAACCCTAAGTTTCATGGTGTCTCTAGCCTCAGAAGCCTTCATGCCCTCTACTAAACCTTTCCCAGCGCCAACTACTGCGCCGCTGAGGTAACCAATGCTGGTGTAGTATGTCAGGTTTTCGCCCCACGAACGCCGTTGAGCGATGGATTCCTCTTGAAAGAGGTATTCGGGAGATGTGGGAGGTTTATACAGGGTTTGTGCGGGGACTCTATAAGATCTTGGTAAGGATTGTATAGTTGACGGTTGTCGTGGTGGTCGCCGCTTTCGTTTTGATTTGAAGATCACGTATGGTAAGACATGTTGTAGTTAGGGCTACGATTAGGGTTTCGATCTTTCAAAAATCTGATTCCAAAGGAGAGAAAGATAGAGCATAAGAGAGAGAGAGAGAGAGAGAGATAGAGAGAGAGAGAGACAAACTATTAGGGTTTTTTAGTAGAGGATTTTAGAGGCGGGGTGTTTAATTTTTTGGGATTTCATTCCCCCCGGGCTACTAAAAATGAGAGACCGCGCCTTCCTTAAAAAAATATAAAGCGACACATTTACACGACGCCCATTTTTATGATAGGTGCCCTCCGTGTTTTTAATTTTTTTTCTTGGACACTAATTTTAGGGCACGCACAAATGCGTGTTCTCTATCCTTCAAATTTTGCAAAACTGACATTAACTTTTAGGGCATGCATAAATGCGCGTTCTCTATCAGCGAGTGTCATTGTTTGCGCGTCATTAAAGGGCTTTTTTCTAGTAGTGAAGGTAACTGGGTGTCACCCACTTCAGCCAAGCATAGAGGGGATCTGCACTTCCAGCCATAGAGGGCTTCAAATGGAGAAGCCTTGATGGTTCTCTCACTTTGTTCTTTGGTCTAAGGATGGTAGGCGGTACTCATGTTCATCCTTGTTCCTAGGGAAAGTAAGGCATTTACTCACGAAGGTAGCAATCTCTGCTTTCATGTTAGGCCAGCAGTATAACTTTTTAAGATCCAGATACATCTTATCTGAACCTAGGTGGACGGAATATCGATTTTTGTGTGCTTCAGTCATGACCAAGTCCGTGAATCCACCGTGTTTCGGTTTCCAGATCCGGTCCATGAGATATAAGGCTCCGCCACCCTTAACTTCTAAGTTCTTGTACATTCCTCTAAGGGATTCACCCGTCACGTTTTCAGTTTTCAAGGCTTCAAGCTGAGCCTCCTTAATTTGTGTGGACAGATGTGAATGGATAGTCATGGTCAATGATTTGACCCTTCGACCATAATATTCTTTCCAACTTAGGGCGTCTGCTACTATGTTGGCTTTACCCGGATGATAACGAATTTCGCATTCATAGTCATTGAGTAGCTCGACCCACCATCGTTGTCTCATATTGAGATCCTTCTGATCGAATATGTGTTGTAAACTCTTGTGGTCTGTAAAGACAGTGCTTTTCGTACCATACAGATATTGTATCCAGATCTTCACAGCAAACACAACTGCTCCCAGCTCAAGATCTGTGTAGTGTAGTTGACTTCGTGTGTCTTCAGCTTTCCTCAAGGCATAGGCGATGACCTTACCTCGTTGCATTAGAACATAGCCGAGCCCCTGGTTGGATGCATGACAGTATACAACGAAGTCTTCTATCCCTTCGGGGGAGGGATAGTATCGGTGCGGTGCATAAGGCTCGTTTCAACATTTGAAACGCTTTTTCTTGTTTCTCTTCTCAATCAAAGGCCACGCCTTTCTGGGTCAGTGTAGTAAGGGGTTTCACAATCCGAGAGAAGGTCTGTACGAATCTGCAGTGGTAGCCAGCGAGGCCTAGAAATTGATGAATTTCTATAGGTGTCTTCGGTGCTGACTAGTTCTCAATGGTCTTTATTTTGGATGGATCCACATGGATTCCCTCTTCGCTAACCACGTGTCCTAAGAATTCGACTCTTAAGATCCAAAATTCTCACTTTGAGAACTTTGTGTAGAGCTTTTTCTGTTCACAAGGTTCCTAGAACTTGTCGCAGATGATTGTTATGTTCCTCCTTACTTCGAGAGTATATCAGTATGTCGTCAATGAAGACGATGACGAACTGATCCAAGTAAGGATGACATACTCTATTCATTAAGTCCATTAATATTGTGGGCACATTGGTCAATCCAAATGGCATCACCACGAACTTGTAGTGTCCATAATGAGTTCGGAAGGTTGTCTTCAGAAGATCCTCCTCTAGAACTCGTAACTGGTGATATCCGGATCTTAGATCAATTTTAGAGAAGTAACTCGCCCCTTGCAGTTGGTCAAATATATTGTCTATGCGAGGCAGAGGGTAACGATTTTTTACCATAAGTTTGTTGAGTTCTCTGTAGTCGATACACATACGGAATGATCCGTCTTTCTTCTTAATGAACAAGACTGGTACTCCCCAGGGTGAGAAGCTTGGTCAAATAAAGCCCTTGCTGAGTAGTTCGTTAAGTTGACCAGATAGTTCCTGCATCTCTGCTGGTGCTGATCGGTAGGACGATTTGGCTACTAGGGTAGCTCCTGGAACTAAGTCGATTCAGAAATTGACTTTTCGCTGCGGAGGTAATCCGGGTAGTTCTTTTGGAAAGATTTCGGGAAAGTCACTCACTACCAGGATGGTCTTTAGTTCTTTCGTTTCTAGGCTCGTATCGATAACATGAGCAAGGAATGCACGATATTCCTTACGTAAGTACTTCTGTGCTTGAATACTTGAGATGATACAATGACTCGTGCCAGGTTTGTTTCCGTAGATAATAAGAGTTTCGTTAGACGGAAGGTTTAGACGGACTGCTTTCTCATAGCACATGATGTCGGCACGATGAAGACTCAACCAATCCATGCCGATGATGACGTCGAAGCTTTTAATCGAGACTAGCGTGAGTTGGATTGGAAATGAATGGCTATCTAGAGTTAGGTTACATCCTATGTATATGCTACTAGTGCTCTCAGTCTTCCCATTAGCCATTTCTATAGTGAATGGTTCTTTAAGTGCGTGTGCTTGTTGTTTAAATAAGCGTGAAAATTTCTAGTTTATGAAACTTCTCTTTGCCCCACTGTCAAATAATATGCATGCATAATACATTTCATGGAGAAACGTACCAGTCACCACCGTAGGGTCAGCAACTACTTCTTCGTGGCCTATAGCCAGAACTCTTCCCACTCCACCAGCATTTCTTGACTTGGGGCAGTCCCTTTGATAGTGGCCCACTTCGCTACACCCATAGCATGACTGAGTCACACCAACACATGGGACCTGGTTGATTGGTCTTGCCGGGGATCTGCAGAAGCAAACAGTGTGTCCTTTCTTGTTGTAGTTGGAGCACTGCAATTCCGGGCAGGGTCCATTATGGTGGAAACTACATTTGTTGCACTTCGGCAAGTTTCCATAGTAGTGCTTCACCGAAGCAGTAGCGGCAGGTGCTATTGCGGCATGAACCGCCACAACCTGCTGCTTTTTGGCACCTTTTGTTTTTTCTTATCATCCTAGAACTTCCGCTTGTTGTCAGTGGTTTTGGAGGGTTCTGAGATGGCTAGGGTTGTTGTCGATGACGGGGATTGGACTCCATGACCGATGAGTCGTTGTGCCAATCATTTGGCACTGTCGAAGGTAGTAGGGTTTGACGATAAGATATTTCCCTGATATGGAGGCACCAACCCCCAGATGTACCTTTTGATTTTCCTTCCCTCGGTGGGAACCACGTTGGGACAGAGGGCCACTAGTTCGCTGAATCTAGCAGTATAAGCGACTATGTTGGAGCCCTTCATGGTTAGGCTCCAAAGCTCTTGTTCCAACTTTTGGATTTCGTCCCTCGGGCAGTACTCCTCAATCATGAGGTCTTTTAGAGTTTCCCAGCCCATGTCATTTGCCACTATGAGAGTTAGTGACTTGACATGGCCATTCCACCATGTCAGGGCTTTCTCATCGAAGGTGCACCCAGCAAATTTGACTTTGCTCACGGCAAGGCAGGAGCAAATCTCGAAGATCGACTCCGTCTTTTTGAACCATTACGAGAGCGCAATGACTCCGCCAGCCCCCTTAAAGGACTCTGGCTTGCAGTTAGTGAAGTCCTTGTAGGAGAAATCTCTCGAGCGCACAAGGATTTCACCTTGAGTAGAATGAATTGGCGTACTACCTCCGCTGGCACCGGTGGAGTGATACCGAGCCATGGAAGTTGCCACTGCCACAACTACTGCAGCATTCAGAGCTACCGTATTAATTACTGGAAGAAGTGGAGGTGGAGGTGGAGGATTACGCCTTGTTGATTTTTGAGGAGGCATCCTTCAACTATAAGGTTATAATTATGGACAAGATAGTTAGAGTCAATTGTAAGTATAGTAAGAGTGTTTCATGGGCTAAATCGCCGTAGTCCAACAGTTGAATGAGTGTATGTTTTGAAATAGCAGTATAGTAGGAGAGTAAGGAAATAGAAGAGTATAGATTTTTCCAACAAATTAGATAAGTGTCAATATTACTGGTATCATTGATCTAACAAGTTCGGGAAAAAATGATCTATCGGGAAAAAATGATCTACCATAAGGGAAAAAGGTTGACAGTTTTTAGAATTCTAGTTAAAGTACCTTTAAGATAGTAAATTTTACAGACAAGTGCCACTTAGGGCATAATTAGGGAAGCCTATTCCTTGAATCAAAAGAAAAGATGTACTAAACATCTTCTACCGACGATGGGAATTCCTCGGGCGAACCCTCGGATCTGCCAGTTGACAAACCACTTCTTGAAGGCGTCGCTCATGAGCCCTCTGGCGTACTCGAAGTTCTATGAATTCAGCTCGGGAGGCAGCTAGCTGTTGCTGCAGAGTCTCATTGGTCCTCCTGGTCCTTTCCATAGACTCTTCAAGATGGTGAATGCGGACCGTGTTGACACCAGAATTAGCATCAATCTCCATGACCCGGTCGATGGCTGCCCGACCTTGCTCGACATTCCGAGCAATTCTACGGACCATGATGGGTAGCACTAGGTCAGCCGAGCCACCCTCGCTTATGTTGTA